CCACCACAGAGACGTCACTACATTTCTGTACGCAATCCCTTTCTTTCCAATACTTCTTCATGAAAATGTTCTAGAGACAAGTAGTTCCTCCAATGCCTCTTTAAGGTCCTTGCATTGTATTTCAAGTCACTTGATGCTACAATTACCTTCAAATATAACTTGAGCTACTTTTAGTCTGCTGAGAACGAGGTATGTGCTCAAAGGGTAAGAGACACATATGTGATTTCTGAACTGTTATATTCATATCTACCACTCCATAGTTCAACACTGGCACTCCTACGCACCGTGTCTCTCCTTTTTTCTCTCTTCTGCCATCTGTACCACAAAAAGCCATGGTCTATTGAGGATCTCTCTGAACTGCCTGTGGTCTGCTCTTCAACAAGACCTGCAGTCTTCTGGGATACAGCCACACACTCCAGTGTCTCGGTCATCAAATCATCTGATGGAGGAATTTCTTGAAAGTCTGGTGATGATGGTTGTGTATCAGCTAGCGCAGGATCTGATGTTGAGTCTGTAGGTCCAAAGTCTATTTCCAGTGATGAATCTGGGGATACTGAACTGGGTGGTGAAATTGTAACAGTGACCTGTGGAAGTAGTACTTTGGGTATTTCTGAATTATCATCATAAGTATCTATATCTGGTAAAAGGGAACTCTGAGAGTCAAACTGGTATAACGGAGGTTCAACATCATCAACATTAAAGGATGAATCTACACTCAGGTTGAAAGGCTCTGGTTCAGGGTCCATAAACACAGAATCAAGGTCATCCTGATCCAGTGAGGTTAGCATGACTATATCAAAGTGGACTAAATCAGCATGATAAATTGGGGTGTTATCCAGCGGTTCTGGAAGAGGTGGCCACTCTGTGTCTTGGAATTCTGGGTCAGTGTTTGGCTGAGATTCCATTGAACTGAATGCAAAGGCTGGACCAGGAATTTCTTGTTCTAGAGGAGTCTCAGAAGGATAATCAGGATTACTGATGCTAGGATAAAGATTTGTGTCACTATCAGTTGAACTTGCTGGAGATACGACATCAAAGTGCTCTGAGACCACTATAGATGGACATTTGATCTCAGTTTCTGAATAACTTGGTTTAACATCATCAGAATCAGTTAACTGAATGTCACAGACTGGTGTATCTTTGAGAGGGTTTGATGAAGACACCAATGTTATTTTTAATGTTTTTGAGCTTATCTCTGTTGAATCATTCGGATCAGATCCCTCTACTCCTGAAAGATGTGAAGACTCTGTAGGTGGGTCTTGATGGATGGTTTGTGGCTTCTCAACATTGACAGGATCATCAATCTCTTGATCTGAGGTTATGTCATAATCAGATTCCTCTGGTGGAGACACAGTAACTGTAGGGACTGGATATGGTAGTTTTATCTTGTCTCTTTCAATTTGTTCTGGGACTTGGGATTTTGTATCATCAGTATGAGATTGTTTAGCATTCGAAAGGGACTCATTAGCTGGGCCCACATCTATTAGTTGATGAGTGATAAGGATTTCTTGTTTCACTGTAGATGAATCCTGAGGGCATTCGAGAACTTTTTCTGATGAGAGCAAAGCTGTCTCCAGAGTGATTACTGCCTCATTTGTGAGAGAAGCAGATGAAGTTGTATTATCTTTGAATGGCAGTTCTACGTCTGGCTTCAATGTGGATGATACCATAGAGGAATCAGTTAGCTCTCGTTTAACTGTTCTACTTGAGCAAGGAAGTATTGGATCTAGAGAGAGTGGGATGGCACTCTCTACAAACATGGACTGTGGACAAGCAAGAATGCTGGGGTCCATTGAAAGCTGTTTTGGCAAATTTCGGCGAGAACTTCTCTTTTCCTCATTCTCCTCTGGACAGTTAACAGCTGCGTCTGCAGTGCTTTGTCTTACCAGGGCTTTGCTTCTGGCCTGAATCCCTACAGATACTTTGGATATCTGGGGATTTTTCTCTCTTGCTCCCCCAATCCCTTTGTCTGTGGATGTTGTTGCAAATCCTCCTCCTCCAAAGCCTGTCCCCACTCTTGTTCCGGTCCCTGAACCAATAACAACACCTTTGCCAAAGCCTGCTCCAGTTCCTGTTGCCATTCCACCACCTTGAGGAGACCATGTGTTGTAATGCTGTGTGAAAGTGTTGAAATTACTGTTGAAAGCACGAAGCTCCTTACATAGATCCCGCCTGAGTTCAGCCAGTTCTCGACGCATGGCGGAAACTTCTTCTTTCCACTGCATGCTGATAGCTGCAGCTAATGTGGCAGACTCTTTTATACTAGCTTGGATGGCTTTTGGTGAAGGTCTTTCAGGAGCACTAGATCTTGGGGATCGAAAGAGGCTTGGAGAAACAGGTAGCCCAGACATGGGTTTTGCAGTAGCCCCCACAGCTTCTTGGTTGTAAAGCCTGTCTCTTCTGATGGGGCACCCAAGATCATCATGTGTCAATGGGGCTGAATCTGCCAAATCCTCAGGTATACTGTCTTGATCAGGTAAACAAGTTTCTTCCTGCACATAATTTCTTTCTGCAAGACAAATGTAAACATGAATCTATAATATAGACACAGGTATGAACAGCTGGAGATATTGTGCTTTTTATAGTTAAAATTATGTCATGCTATGAATGCCTTGAGTCAAAACAAGACATATCTGTGATATTAGGATTCAAGCAATAATTTAAGAGAATTATTCCAATTAGCTTCTAAGTAAATTTGAAATTAGACATGTACATACACTGTATAAAAAGACACAACCATTTTTGCTTGTTTGTTTTAATTCATCACTTTACACCAGACTACACTTTTTTACATCTTTGGTCATTTGGGATTATCAAAATTACTTACATAAATGGCATATTTATGAAAGAAGGCATTTTGCAAAATACCTTTATTGAATTGGAAAAGCCACAATGAATATGTCATAGCTTTATAGTGCATCTGAGTTTTTTCAAGGTACAACTGTAAATGTATTTTACAACACACTACTTGAAGCAGAGTCATTGCCCACATTGAAAGAAGTCCTGTACAGGCCCTGGCTAAAAATACTTTTTGCAAATAAGAAGCCATAGCTTCAAAGGCGATCAAAGGCCTGATAAAAGTTTACAAAAGCACTCTAAAACAATGTTCTAATTATTTAGAGACAAGTCCTATTTTTTGATAAAGAAACCTGGTGGACATATTTAAGCAATATCTTCAGATATTATCGAGCCCTGACAGTAGGTGAAGTTGTGCCAAAAAATCAAAAAGTTAGATTTTTAGGGCTAACACAAAGTCCTGGGCTCAGTTATGTAGATGACTTGTGGGCATTGCTGAAAAGGTATGTGTCTGTAACAGTCAAAAGGAATGGGTCAAAATTCCAGAAAAAATGATTGCGATAAGCTTGCAGAAAAATATCCAAAATATTTAACCCATGCAATAGAGTTAAAATGCAATTCTACTACATGGTAAGGAAATTTGGGTAAAATGTTTGACTTAAGGAAAGCTGAAAAAACATCTTTATTTTTTATTTGTGTGACATTTGGCAAATAGGGCTAATTAGTTTAGCTGACCTAAAACATAAACATGTTGTCTTGTTTAACATCAGACAGTCAAGAAATGCAAATTTTGTGTCATTTTATACATTGTATTGAAATATCTGGTGAGGAACTCTCACTTTATAAATGACAATGCAGTTCTGGAAACATGGATAATATAATTTATTCTCACTTTGATCCATTTCAAGTAGTAGCTTACACTGCCTTCTCAATCTCAATTGTGTCATGCATTCTTTACAACTTTTCAATGCACAAAGCTGAAATTTTTAGATTTAAAAGTCCATCAATGAAATGAGAATCTGTAATAAAAAGGGCTGTAAAAAATTATTGCACTTCTATTCTTCAGCTTTTGAATGAGAAAGAAACAATAAAAAAACTTTGTGCAGTAAAAAGAGTAAAGATGAGCAAAGCTTCCGAACCTTCTCTAGTCAATCGGGAAAGTATAGCATGAACCCTATTGAAACTGTGAAGTCCAATTAGACAGACTGAATCAAAGCTACAATTGCCCTTTGTTGAAAAGAGCAGCTGAATCAATTTTGCACAGATCTCAGTCTCTTACAGATGCAATATTTTGAAGGGTATTGAGAAAGCAGTGTAAGCAGACATTTGTTTAACCATCAGCACATCTCCAGATGTTCAGACCTCTAACTTTCCCTACAAAAGCCCAGTCTGTCGGCAGCATTCATTCATACTTTTTCTGGAGCCTTATTCTTCTTCTTATATTCTTCATCCTTTCAAAGCAGTCTTGTCTCATCTGTGAATCCAGCAGCCATGAAGGAAGTTGAGCGTACCAGTAGATTATAACCAAGGCCCAGTACCAACTAATCAGCATCAGTATATCTTACAGTGTAATCATTATCATCTTTACATCTTTCAGTACTGATGTTCAGAAACGATAACTTTCAGCTCTGTTGAGAGATTTGGTTTTTCTTTTTGTGGAAGCACAAAGTTTTAAAATGAGTTTGAAAAAATAAATTGGGTAATGCAAAAATCTTCAACCATAGAGAGGATTTACCACTCTGGAGATAATGTGCTTTTGCACAGTCTGAACTTTGCTTATAAGAAAAGAAGGTTCTGTATAAAGCAAATGCACCATGTGTTACCTTAAAACCACAAACTCCATATAAAACGTTAGTGAAAGAATCCATTGTGTCCCTATTCTCACTTTATTTTTTTTCACAAACTTTGTGATTTTCAATAGGGTTCATAGCTTTACTCTCCGATGCATTGAAGTGATGGGAAAATCAAGGACTGTTTCCAAAATGACCACAGCTCACAAGCTGCAATTACAATAATCCACGAAAATGGAAACATAAAAAGTGATTCATGCAGCGAATATAAGAACTAGTTGCTACTAACTGCTCTATCGTCATCCATTACTACAAATGTAAGTTTAAATGTTTTTGCATTAATTTGTTAGATCCTTTTCTCACAAAACACAGTTCTTCACGATGTATTTATTGGACCGTCTAACTTTTCCTCACCTGTGGTTGACCTGATAGTGGAGGTAACAGTGGATGCCATGGGGGGGATGCAGTCATCATCTTGGGAGTATCCAGCCTGGATGGCTCTCAGGTAACTGTGACTCCTGGTTCTGAAACATCCAGGGAGGTCCAGTGCCTCCATAGCTTGGGATTCTACCTCACTGAACACCGACTCACACACAGATTCGAACTGGCCATTTACTTCCGTTTCACTAACCTGAAGGAAACAATAGACACAGTTATTCCTCCAATTGTTGGAGCCAGGAAACATACAAATCTATGACTTCATCATCTGGAAATCTCTTGTTGTGTGGATAAAGACCTTATAAATGGAAATGAATGTGTAACTGCCTTCTGGCAATACAAAAAAAAAAGCTTGTAGTGAGGTTTTTTTCCCTGTGAAGATCACAGGAAATATGGGTGACACATTTATCCCGACCCACCAAAAAGCTTCTCTGTTGGAAATACCTTTTACATATTGATTGTGATTTCATTGGAATCTTAGGTTTAAATTGAACCACCTAGAGCTGTGGGTTAAGAACACAGAAGCTAATTAGTTCAGGCATACTAAATAATCAGACCACCAAGTGTTTTTTTTTAATGTGATTCTGAACAAAATAATCCAAAGAATGAATTGATTGAGGTGAATGCTTCTCAGAGAAGCATCCAAGCTACTCCTTTCAAACAACAGCCCGCCCGACTTTCTCCACCTCCATGAATATATCACAGTATTTTCACACTGCGAACTCAAATTAGTGTCCTGCATTCTTGTCCCAGGTAAACATTTAAATCATAATGTCATCCCTTCTTACCACTTTTGGCTTTCGCACATTTAAGCACATTTCTCAATTTCTGAGATGTAAATAAATGGCGTTGTTGTAAGCTACAAGTCTGAAAACAGATGAAAAGAAAAAATGGTACAGATGAAATGTATAACCTACAACAAATGAGTGTCCTTTGGTTTTAAGGAGAAGTAAAGAGGTTTGTCATAAAATGCTAAGCAAAACATTGTTTTTCTCAATAATCATTGAAAATAAGTATTAGTTATGAATCAGTGAAAGCTTTCTTTTCAGTACAAAATTTCCTCCCTGTGTAAGATAATAACCTGTGGGTTAATGCCATTCAGATGCATTACAGTGCGCCCGGCTCTCTGTAAATGTCAGACAATGGGATACAAATTTTTGTGAACTTAATCTTATCCTGTGATGCTGTAGGTATAACATATTCAGTAATGTCTCTGGCACTAATTCATCACAAACAGTGCACATATCAGAGACAATTTTATATTCCCATCAGATAACATGAAGAACCATGAAGATAAACATCTTGTTCTACTGAGATTTGGACTTAGAGGGGATTTAGCTGAGCTTTTAGTACTCACAACAAATCAATAAGCTTCTTTTTCCAAGAAGTAGATGAATATCTCAGCAACCTGTTTGAGTGTCTTAATTAGACCAGATTAACAATGTGAAACAAACGGCATAAAAGATATATGTAGTTAAATTGAAATCAGAAAAAAATCTAAGACATATATTTATGTCATGTATGTACGTAAAAGGTAGTGTTGATTCTCGTCATCTTTAGATTTCAGCTGTCTTTTTCTGAAAGACATGTTGCAGATTTTATGCTGCAAACTCACCTGGCTCACTTGACTGACACAGCTAGCTTGACTAAGCGTGCTGACAGCCCGCATATAGCTCTGGTTCCGGGAACGAAACTTGGGCGAGTTGTAGTTGATAGAGGGATCCAAGGTAAGGCTAGGGTGTATTTCCCTGGTAGCCTGCAAGTGGTAGTTCTGACTAAATAGACAAAGAGAATAAGAAAATGTCAGTGAGTTTTTTTTTTCTTTTTTTTATAAATCAGTTAAATACAATCTAATTGCTTTAACTGGTGCTTACACATGTAAGCACCAGTTAAAGGGCTTCCCTTCTTGTGTCTCTCAAGAAGGGAAGCCCTTTTCTTTGCTACAGTGATATGCTTGTTGGTGTCCTTTGTTAGACAGTTCGATTTGTGTTGTGCTGAAACATCCGATCAATGCTTGGAAATGAGCGAAATGCAAATCAGCAGCTAGTTAGTGAGCAAGCAATTTTGAAAGATCACCCCAGAGTCAGCCATGTCAATTAAATGTAGTTGGCAAGAGATGCTCAGAAAGTCATTACTGGTTAGAAAATTTGCGGGAGAAAAGACGGGGAAGACACCACCTGTATGCAAACTGATGAGTATGGTGTAAAACACGTTAGGAAAATAAAGTTTGGTCTGTTTCTAAAAGCTGGCAATAATGAATAAGTTTTTCCTAGGCTTGTTTTACAAATAAACACTAATGTTTAGAAACAGGAAAATGTCAAAAAGTTCACAACCAATTCCCAGAAAAATTGCTGATTATATAAGTAACCCCATAAGACAAAATATTCTAACCCAAGACGAATACAGTGGACTCCTACCTATTCACTGTTCGGTGTTCATGGATTCATCTATTTGGGAATATTTCTGTAGAACATGACTGCAGGTTATTCACAGAAAATGTGATCATTTGCACATTTTTATACAGCACAAAACTAAAATATTTGAGCAAAAAGAGAAAAAATGCAGTTTATCAATCTGGAATTTCTAAACCCAATGCTACTTGACATGCTATTGGCTTCCACGAGTGGAAAAAAAGGAAGACTGAACATTATATCTTGTGCTGTACAGGTAAGATGACTTCCACTATCTGTATTTATGCATATTAATTATATCTGGTGTTTAAACTACTGACATAGACATCATTTGAGGGTCTCTTAAGTATTTGCAGTTTTCCAATACCGATCGTCCGCTGTACACCACCTTACAAAATATACAGCTTTCAAACTTTTTTACAAACTCAAACGTCAATGTATTTTAACTGGAATTTATGTGACAGACCACAACAAATTAAGGCAGATGGTAAAGTAAAAAGAAAATTATGACTTTATTTTAAAAAAAAAAATTCCAAAAAGAAACTTGAAAATGTTGGCATGTGAATGTATAGAGCCATAGTGCATGTTTCTATTAGCTCTGAACATCTATTAGCTCTGAACATCTAGACACAGAAAAGTTAATTCATTGTTTGGGGAAAATACCCCCTGTTCAATCAGATTGAGATAAATGCTAAACTCTTTTCTCAGTCGGACTGGGCATTCTAACACATGGATATGAGTTTGACAAAATCATTCCATAGTAGCTTTGGTTGTATAGTATGTTGGTAAACTTCTGTCTGGGTGTCACATGTTTCACTTACATTATGTTTCACCCAGGAATCTTAACAATAATCAGGGAAATCCAATTGAAATTAAAAATCTTTTTTGCAGGAGAATTCTGACAGTTTTTTTTTTCTGCAAAAGAAAGCATATCCACAGCATGATGCTGCCACAATGTCACAGAATTAAGACGGCATGTTCAAGGCAATGTGGATAATTCAGTGTTAGATCACACAAAACAATGTAGGCCAAAATATTCACACTGAGTCTGATCTAATTGAAGCACCTGTATGGCTTGAGACAAACTTCAAACCAGACCACTTTTTCACAAAGGTCATACATATGAAGGCCACGACCTTAAAAGGGGTACTGTGTTATACATAATCCTGCTTAAAACGACTCTATAAATCAGTAATTATTTTTGGGCCAAAAGATGTTGAACAAGATTCATCACACAGCTTCATTTATTATACCTAGAAACAACATAATCTGGGTGTGGTGATCAACTCAGACCTAAAACTTCAGAGATATATAAAGAGTAATAAAACGTCAGTCTTCTATCTCCTCCGGAACTTTTTCAGGGTTCAATGATGTCCAAGCAGGATCCTGAGAAACATCCATGGGTTTATCCATGTTTAGTCAGATTGATTTCTGCATCAGTGTTTTCTCAGGTCTGCCTAAAAAGTGAGACAGCTGCAGCTGATCCAGAATGCTGCTGTCCTTTCAACCTCACTAAAACTAGCAAAATAGAACACCGAGGAGTGATCAGAGTGAAAATTAACTAAAATTTAAGTTAATATTTTTTGATGCAATGATTTCACATCCTTATACATTTTTTTTCAAAATGATTATAAAATAATTTAAATAAAGTGTTTATTCAAATCTTTATTTGATATTTATGCTTGTACATTATCACCTCATCTTAGTAGGATGAGGTGATAATCTCTCAGCCATTGTAGCAATCTCTCATTGGCAGACAATATTTAGCATATTAGCAGAAAGGTTAGATCTGACCAGTGAGAACATGGCAGCAACAGAAGAATAAGCCTGCATTCACCTTAAGTCTGCAGCAAAATTGGTGATGTAGTTATGCATGTCACTGTTGATTTTATCCAGGCGGTAAGAACTGTGGGTAGAGAAAAGAACAACGTTATTGGGTTCCACTAGTAGTTGCTGGATGGGATGTGAGGTTTCTCAGCAAGACTCCAATGGAAATACAGCTCTGAATGGAATTTGTAACCCATTAAATGTTTGCTTGGAAGTATTCACCAAAATGCTGCAAACATTAGGGTGATACACTATGACCAAAGGTGCAAGTGTGTCACCACCAGTATGAAAAAATGGTCTGGCAGAGCTAATGATTTGATTTTTTAAAATGTACACAAACACAAGGGCAGTGTAATGACAAGGATGCTATGATTTCTGTAAATGCACAAAGATGTCATCTAGCACCATATCCCACCAAAAGCATTTAATGATAAAATGTAGTCAGCACAAAAAAAAAATACTTCAACATAAACCTCAAAAAAGACCCTCCATGGAATCTATGTGAAAAAATATTAATAAAGCTTTTAACTGACGAAATCAGACTGCAGCAGGCATGTCGAGATATTATCTCTACAGCTGAGCGAAGAGAGTCTGTTTTGAGAATGTGTTGGCTGCTTTTTATCAAATTATGTCGCAGAAAATTTCCTCTAATGTTTTCGATTGGTGCTAATGCACTTCCATTGTCGGCAGATATCAAGGTGAGGGATAATGGGAAATGAGACATTCACCTGTCTGTCATTCTACAAAAATATTCAGCCAACTGTTCAACTGATTCTCAGGGAGAGAAGTTTTGAGGCAGAAAAGTAAGTGAAATTTTGAAAGAAAGTCTTCTACAAAAAGTAAAAGGAAGAGAAAACTTGAAGTTTCAGAAATTATGTTGCATAACAATTTGGTACATAAAATACATCAAAACAGAGAACGACTTTCTTTGAGGTTTTTTCTGGTCAGTGGAGTGACAGTGAATTTTTTCTGTTGTTTTTGTCAGTACGTGACTAAGTTCCCTTTTTATTACAAGTGTTAAAGTTGTCTCTAACTTGTTTTTCCAGTTTTACAAAAATTTTAGGTTTCAAATGTATCTGGTCTCCTAAAAGAAAGATGTTGACAACTCAGTCTGGATACATCTTGTTGGTGCAGGCTATTTCTAAAGCCTCCAGACCACACCACAAGCCAACGTTGTACCAGCAGTCCTAAGCTTGCCCTAAAAACACAGTGCTAATTAATATTGATCTTTTGAACTATTTTTTTTTATTTTGCAAATTAACATCCAGAAACTTCCATGTATTTTAAAGGTAATGTTTGTGGCAGAGTAACATGAAGTAGTGCGGAATTTTGAAGAAGGTAAATTGTCCCTTTAGCCAGAACTATGAAAAAATAGTTATTTCAAGTCATATTCATTTATTAGAAAGATGTAGCCAAGGTCTAGACCTAAATCTAATTGGGAATGTGTGATGGCTGAGCCAGTACATCAGTTGCTGGCCCACACAAGCACCCTTCTGTTCAAGCACTGAGGACATGATCTCCTCTGTACCCTGGGCAAGCATTAGCAAAGAACTTATAAAAACTTATAAAAGTACTTATAAAAGTACTGATATATCCTTATATCAGTAAAGGTAAAATAGTTAAAGGATGGAGCGGCCTCATGTCCTGCATCCGGCTCCCACATGCTCATCTCATCCAGAGTGAGTCTCAACTTCTGATGAAACTTGAGAGCCATGGGCATTAGGGTTAGTAAATGCCACAGTGTTCAGTGTCATTCAAATACAGATAATTATGTGATGGGAAAAGGCCATGCGAACAGATAATCACTCAAATTATGCATGACACATTAGCTGTAGGCACAAATCAATAGACTGGAATTGTGCTCTGACCCTGAGAACTTTAGGAGATATGCTTGTAAATAATGCAATTCTGTCAGAATGAGTAATTACAAAGCGTTCATCAGGATTTATTGAACTGAATTCATTGCCTGTGTTAACACTAATTACTTATAGTCATGCCTGAAGCCAGTCATTTATGTATGACAAAAGAAAAATATTTTGTTTGCAAAAACTTAGGTGACTTGATTTGTATTTTAGCTCGAACATAAGGTAAGATGAGATGGATGTCAAAACAAAAAAGCTCCTCTGAGTTTTTGTGCCATTACAAGTTATCAAATGTGACACATGATTTCATGCATTTGTTATTTAGAATAGTGGCAATAGCAAACATTATTGTATGTCACTCAGTACCCCATCATTTATAAAATTTTTAAACATCTTCTGCAGGTCTGACTGGCACAGACAAGGGTTGATTTGAAGTGGGTTTATCAAAGCTGTCTGGTCTTTAGCTCACAGAACCAGAGCTGTTTGGGGTTAAGGATGGGTAAATGATCTTTAGTTAACAAATTCACTGATATCTAATTGTACTTCAAGTGCTCAAGCTGCTCCAGCTCAGTGCACCCATGACGATGCGTTCATTCATTGGTGGGACAAACGAAGATCCTGTCAACTGTTAGAGTGATGGAGAGCTTGAAAGAAGGAAAGACGAGGGGAGGTGACACAACTTGACAGCCTGTTCTCACTTTAACACGATTTGCTTCAGGGAGACGCTGCTGTCAGATTTGTGTTTGGCCCATCAGAACCGCCCCACAGGGACATCAAATTGCTACAAGTGCAAAGAAAATCTAACCTATGTACCTTCTGTATTCAATTCAATCTAATTCCATCCCAACATGTCCAATGAACCGTAAAAGCATTGAGGCTCCCCATGCAAGTAGTTCTGGGCAAATATCGGAAAAGTCATTCGTGTGGATTCAAACAGGAAACAAATGAACAGAGGCACAACTGCTAAAGATGAAACACTGAAAAGAATTGAAGCAACAATTGGGACGGTAATGTTACATAATATTATGTATTACATTACCAAAAGATGTAGTATTACTGTCAATGCTTGACGTTCTATTGTCAGGAAAACTTTGTGTGCAAAAGTCTTGAGTCACACATCTTTTCACAATTTCCTCTCAAGAAACTTCAGCATCGCCATAAATAATACTTCAAAGTTTAAAATTTTATTTTTATCAGATCATTTTCTCGTGGGAAGTTTTGTAATTTATTTATTCAGTCATCTGAACTTCATATGTGGACCAGTGATGCAGCAATACCCCTCAGATTACAGCATGAACAAAAGATCAGATTTAAATATGATCTTTAGGTACCGTCACTAGCATGCTGACAGAAAGAGAGTTGTTCTTATTTTTTCATAGACCACAAAGGGTAACATAGTTTGACATAAATAAAATAATTGTATGTATCCACAAAGCGATTCCCAAGAAGCTATTTTCCTACCTTGGCATCCAACTGAAGGCTTATGCTCCCCCCAGGGCCTGTGTCAGGATCTGAGGGATGCTGTTTATTTGCATGAATGACAGTAAGTTTTTATTCTATGCTTCCACTTCAGTGCTTTACCCTGTCATACACCAGTAATATGACTCAGGTTACCAGTGCACTGAAACAAGTATTAATATCTTCTGGATTTTTTTTTTACATTACTGAACAGACATTATGAAGACA